TATTACTGAAATATTACAGTAATATTACTGAAATATTACAGTAATATTACTGTAATATTACTTTAACATTACACGCTTATTTGAAATACATAAAAATTTCAAAGTTTTTTATGATAAAGCAGAAAAAGATAATATTTAATCAATCAAATATTTTTAAGTGGTTTTCGAAAATTTTTTGAAACTTTTCTGTAATATTTCAGTAATATTAATGTAATAATACAGTAATATCAATCGGTAATATTACCATGGGGCGGAAATTTTAATATTACTGTAACACCGTCCGATACCATTTTTGACCAACAAAAAAAACCAACATTTTCGAAAACTAGGACCAAAAAAAAATACCCATGTCTGATCGTTTTTCTAGATCAAGTCGTTTGTGGTTTTCAGGGGTGAAAATAACCCCTAAATGTAAAGTGACAAGATATCTTTTAAAAATTATTAATATTTTAAAAAACTTGTTATCTGGGGGTTTTCAGGGTTGCTGATCATTAATCTGGTGTCAGATTTTGAAAATTCAAAATGGCGGATCCAAAATGACGATCAAATTTTTAAAAAGTTATTAATTTTTTATAAAACTTGGTATCTAGGAGTTTTTAGGTTCGCTGGTGACGAATCTGATGTCAAATTTTCAAAATTCAAAATGGCGGATATAAAAAAAAAATTAATAACTTTTTAAATTTTTGACCGACATATTGGATCCACTATTTTGAATTTTGAAAATCTGACATCAGATTAATAATCAGCGACCCCGAAAACCTCCAGATGCAAAATTTTATAAAATATTAATAATTTTTAAAAGATATCTTGTCACTTTTCATTTAGGGGTTGTTTTCACTCCTAAAAACCACAAACGACTTGATCTAGAAAAACGGTCAGACACGGGTATTTTTTTTGGTCCTAGTTTCCGAAAATGTTGGATTTTTTTGGGTCAAAAAAAAAAGTTGAATTTTGTCGGACGGTGTAATATTACAGTAATATTACCGGGTAATATTACGTGCTACATGGGCAGTTTGTTAAAAAAAGTACTTTTTTTGAGCACACTGTTATTATTCGCATCTATTAACCTTTTCAAGATAAAAATGGGAGTAATAAGCTTATAAGATTGAAATTTGCACTAAAAAGCGTATTATATCATTTTGTAAAAATTTGATATTATATCTAGATGCATATCTACATAAGGCAGATAGTGTATTTCTTAAAAAGTACGGCAGTAATCTACTCTCTAAATCTGAATTAGTCATTTTTGACTAATTCACAGTCATTTTTGACTAATTCAAATAGGGCGGATTCGTTTACTGTGAATTAGTCAAAAGTTACTAATTCAATCTGTAACTAATCTACCACTAAATGAATTAGTAGTTTCAGTTTCTAGATAGGTATACATAGGTAGATAAAGTAGGTAATGTAGACGTATTTATTTTGAAAATTGACAAAAATTATTGCTTAAAAAATAGAAAACGATTATATTTTGTTTTTATATAGTTTAAATAACGTGAATCAATAAAAAAAATTTATTTATTTCATTTTCGAAATTATTCTGCGATAATTACTGGTATGGGAGATGTCACTAGGATTTGAACCCATTACCTTGCCTTCTACCTTGGGAGCTGCGCCTTGACGCGCTCAACCAAAGGAGGCTATGAAAATTAGTTACAAAATGTCTCTTATAAACAAATTGTCATAAACTCGTTGTCAAATCGCTAATAAATAAGGTAAAGTCGATTTGTTTTCTATACAAATTTAATTATTATATAAATTTGTAATTAGAGTCTTATAAATGTGTCAATATTGATTTAGATTTGTTAATTAAATTAATTAACATTAACATAACAACAATAGTTTGGAGTGTTTTTTGGCCATCTATACAAACATTTGAAGAACTGAGTTTGAACACATTCAATTTGATCAAAATATCAATATCATCATTATTAATATTATATTACTAAATTAATTATATGTCAATTTTGGTAAACATAACCTACAAAACCTAACTGTTATGACTGGACATAAAGAAAAATAAATATTTTTTTCATAATTACTTAATAGAAAATAATTACTTGTGCATTTGTTAAACTGATTTTTCTTTGGTTGGAACAGAATAATGTTGTATAATAAATTAAAAAATTTTCAATTAAGCTATTTTTGCTTATTTTGATGTATGCACATATCATGACTAACAAATTAGAAGAAAATCTCTACAATTCATTTAGTCATTAAAAGTGACTATTTTTTTTAGTAGAAAAAGCACTACTAATTAATTCAGTAATGAAAAGTGATTATTTTTTTTAGTAGAAAGTGATGAAACAACTAATTCATTAGTAAAATATAGTGTTACTAATTCAATTAGTAAAATTTTGACTAATTCAGATTTAGAGAGTATGCGCGGCAAGTTCTTTTTACTTTCTGATTTGTGTTAATGAAAATTATTTTTCTGTTTTATATCGTAGATTATTAACTGAAAATCAGTGGTTTTAACTGTATTTAAATCAGCGTTTACTCCTCTCTATTTCAATCAGTGATTATTATGTCACTGATTGATCAGTGGAATTTCACTGATTCAATAGAAAGAAAATTACATAAAATTCTAGTTCTGAACTACATCTCTATGAATAATAAAAATATTCGCGGATCTCAAGCGAATTTTTTTAAACAAAAATTTTTAACCTCTTTATTAGTGCATTTATTTTTTTTATTAACTTAAAGTTAATAAAAAAAAAGTTGCTAAAAGAAAAGGTGGCAAAATAGGTTAAAACTGTGCCGCAAAAAATTAATGAGTAAAATAACACATCGAAAATAATTTAAAAATTTTGTTACCTTAAACGTTATAGAACATAACTTTTTTAATTTTTTTGTTTTAATCTGTATCGAAAAGTGTTAAAGAAAAAAAAGTTTACTTTTGGGAGTATTTTAAGAGAAAATTAAAAAAAAAGTTTTCGAGAAGAATTGAATTATTTAAAAATTTAAAATTTGAATAATTTTTGAATTTTTGGGCGGATTAGTCTGTACAACGAACTCAAGCTTCATTTTTACATGTTGAAAGCGTGTACCAAATATCAAAGCAATTCGTTAAGATATGTTCAAGTTATCGTGGGGACAAAATGAGTCTACAGACAGACTACAGACGACAAACAGACATACATACAGACAAACATTTTTTTAAGACCCATTTTTTCGGCATCAGAAAGTCTCAAAACGTCGAGATTCACTAGAATTAGAGAATGCTCAAAATCGCCCAAATGTAATACCTTCTCATTATGATGAGAATGTAAAAATAAAAATTATGTACATGTATTTTTATTCAGTTCAAACACTCTACACATATTAATTTAATAAATAAAAAATTAATTTTCTTAAATTCTACATACTCAAACTGCACTTAGATAAACCGTACACATATTTATTTAATGAATAAAAAAATCAATTTTGTTAAATTCTATTCTTTTGAACACCGTGAAAGTTTACCTTTTTTTTTTAGTGAGAAAATTATTATTGCTTAAAGCTACACATTTAAATTCTACAATGGCAAATTTTTCACATTTCTTTAGCTTTTTTTAACTCTCTATAGTCAAAGCCTACACACATTTATTTAATAAATGAAAAATTAATATTGTTATGTAGAATTTAATAATATTAATTTTATATTTATTAAATAAATTTGTGTAGGGTTGAACAGTGGAGGGTTAAAAAAGGCATATGAAATGAGAAGAATTTTATATTTGAGAATTTAATTCTGCAGAGTTTTACAACACAAATTTTCGCAAGAAAAAATAAATATGTGTAGGGTTCAATGATGTGCTATTTAACGGTGTAGAATTTATTAATTTTTCATTTATTAAATTAATGTGTGTAGATTTTAACGGTGTACATTTGAATTTTGGAGAATCAAAAAGAATTGTCTAGAGTTTAAATAATGTAGAATATGAGATTGTAGAGTTGAACCTGTAGGGTTTTAATGGTGTAGAGTTTTAGTATTTATTATTGCAACCGCCCCTTGCCAATCATATTTAGTTTGTTTTTGATTTAAGGAAAATTTGGTTACGTCAACTAAATTTGTCCAACAAAATTACTTTATTGTCAGTACCAAATTTTCTTTTTAGTCCATACCTATTTTCATTTTGAAATAACATTGAGAGTGACTTGTCGACACTTGTCGACAATATTAATATTGATGATAATAGGTCCTTGAAAGAAAGTATAAAGGGAAAAATTATGAAAAGTAGAAGAAAATATGTTGACGACGTGAGATGAATGAGAAATGATGTGTTGGAGAAAATGCAAGAGGCGAAATTTGGTGGCGTGCCCTAAAAGTAAATAAGGAACACGTGCTTAGACAATAAGTCATGCATTTCTCCCTAAGTGGAAACTTGAAGATCTAAGTGAAGAGCACGAGTTGTGTTTTATTCGAACCGTACAGTTGGAATGGACAGAGAAGGATTTAGGGGTACATAAGGATACAGCGAAGCATGCGCTGTTGTATCATATTGATCTTGCCATAGTAACGATTCTCTCTGGCGATGTTGGCACGCACTGTAGCTCGAAGGGTGAAAGAGAAGGAAAAGAGAAAGGGAGAAAGAGTGGACTGGAGAAAGATGGGAAAAGAGAAGATCGAGATGGAAAGAGTAAGATAAAGATGCAAAGGTGGGGAAGCAAGAGAAGAGACGAAGGGTAGTTCGACGTAGGGTTTTGCACACCGCATGGTATACCATACAGCAGAGTAGAGGGAAGGATACTGCAGACATACATACGAGTGATTCGGGGATATAGGAAGCAACGTGGATGTGCAAGAGTGCAGACTATAGACATAGACGCAATTCGCATACTGCTTCAGAAGCTCTCTGCTCTGCGGGCTAAATGAAAATCAGTTCAGCGTTAGTTGTCGCGGAGGGCGCATCTTATTGCTCTATGACAATCTCGTATTTTCGATACTACACGAGATGCGCTTCAAACAAATTATTCGGTATCGCAATCTCCTACTGATCTGAGTTACATCCATTTTCACCGAATGATCGTACTCGATATTGTCAACGCAACTCCCGATGTGTCACCACCAGTAGAAGTATCAGCAGCGCAAAGGGGCAAATAGATAAGTTGCTACGTATTAAATAGGTGGTTCATTGGAGCAGCGTAAAAAGTGGCGATTCTTGGAAGGAAAAAGAGATATGTCGATGCACAATGCTGCAAAGAAAAAAAAGTAAACGCAATTTTTACAGTAGTGGTATATCTGTTGACGCATTATCGGATACCGGAACTAAGGGACCGGATACTGCACGAATTTGGGTGCAGTCACGTGCCCCTGATATAGAGGATATGCTACTTTTTTACCACGAAACAATCGTCTTTCACTCCTGGTTCTTTCTCTTGGACCGTTCGTTATAATATACAAAATAGTGACGTGATAATTGACGGCTTCAGACAACTGGCAGCTGCATACGATCACCACTACGCAACTTCCCAACAGAAGAACGTACGTGCCTGCTGGACTGTCTGCCTAAACGAAAAATCTAACCGATTCCTGTCTTCCTTTACTTTATACCAAAATGAGACGGTGGACTCTCATGGCGGCAATCGCCCTCGCAGCTTCAGGTAAGTCATGCTTCTCTCCACTTCGCAACCCCATTCACAGCTTTTAACTCTCAAGAAATCCATGCTTATTTGACATATATCCACACTAACACATATACAGTAAAGATAAGCTTTATATTAGTCATTTACAATTTTCATTTAATTTCGTTTCCTATAGTTGAAACACAACCCAAACAGTATTTAGTTTTGCTAAAAAATAAATAAAACAATCGTAATTAATTTCTTTCATATAAAATAGTGGTGATAATGTATTTTCAAAAAATTTTACATGTTCAAAAATGTTATGACAAACATGAACCTTATTTTACTGTATACAATCAAATATTTTCAAATTCCTAATCTCAGTTGCAGAGTTTCAGCCATGATTTGGGAACCATCTTTCGTTCCAAGTGCAGGATATCTCATTTGTATTTTTCTAATGTATATACTTCTCCGTCCTTATTATAATTTTTTATTTTCCATTTCATGGAAAATCTTTTCAGTTTTTTCAAACCATTCATATGATTGTATAATATTAAAAATGGTGATAATAATAATGATAATAATAATAATAATAATAATGATAATAATAATAATATAACTCAATTTTAAGTATCAGAGAATAATATTAAGTGTGTCATTTTTCCCCCAGTAACAAATATTGCATTCTTTGCTTTTATAAGTTTATAATTATTTTCGAATCATGTTAATATAATACAGAAAAGGAAGCCTTATTTGGTTAATTTTCTTGACATAACAACAACAACTTATTCAAAAGATGATACTTAAATATAATATAGACACTGTTAACTATTTAAGGACCTGTTTTACGAAAGGTCAGAGCTTATTCATTGTAAAATATTTAAAAAATTTGCTAATTTATTTGTACTGTTAACATTTTATAAAATTAAAGTTCTTATACTTTATTGGCAACTATCAAAAATACGCATTTACAATATAAAATACTTTACTTGCAGGTAAAGAGGTTGTTTACTTCCTCATAGGAACCTCTATAGTGATGTCGATTTCCGAACTTCTTAAAATCAATTGTTTTAACAAATTTTTAAATGACATATTTCGATATGACGAACAAATGTCAAGATGTGTGTGTTATTGTTTACATTCGCTTAAAACTTGTTACCTGATGTGTTTTGATTTTTTGAGTGTCTCTAGGATGTTCTCAGGATATCTATGGATATTCCTGAAACATCCTATGGATATCCTACTTTCTGGTTATCCCTAAGATATCCATAGGATATCCTGAATATCCGGATGCTGTTAGGGATCAATTAAATTTATTTAATTTAAAAATACTGGTCCGAATATTGGATCAGCTGTTTTAAATTATCTTAAAATTTTGCGTCACATTTCATCGATAAAGAACCTCAAAAATCCTCAAGTAACAAGTTTCAAGCAAATTCGATCATAATGTTTAGAAAACTTGTCAGCCATCTGGAGTCAAGGGTGACAAAACAACCTTTAAAAAATGTGAAAACGAGGATGACAACAATTTTAGATTAAATTTTAATTTTTTCCAAATAATGGTTACTTTACGCTAGATTACATATGTAGTACAATTTAACACAAATAAAAATCTTCTCTAACAAAGAGATGGCCTCGAGAAGGTCGAATTTAATCGAAACTTGAATGATGTACACTAAATTCATTGGTCAAATTGAAGGACTGCACGCTTATTTGAAATAATTTAAATTCAACTTAATACAAAATTTTTAAATATAACTCATAAATAGGTACACCTCTATTTTTCACAGAAAAAGAAAACACATTAAATGTTAATTTTTTTTGAAAGTATTTATAATATAAACATAGGTTTCTTGTTGTTCAGTTGTCATGATTCGGAAACGAATATAACTTATTGTGTTCAAATCACCTGATTTGCCAAAGTGACGCAGCGCGCGCTTATTTGAAATAATATAAATTCAATTTAATACAAATTTTAAATAAAAATTAATTTATTAAATTTTATTAATTAAAATTAAACAAATACATATGAATTTTCGAATTTGCTTTGCACCAAGTTTTTATGGTTTACTAAAATTGCATAAATTAAATATTCCATTAAATCAATAACAGCTTTTTACACAAATCCTGTTTATAATTTATTTAAATTATTAACACTGGAACTAAAGCAATAGATAAAAAGACCACATTTCATAAAAGATAATTGTTCTTTTAAAAACAAAATCGAATGCATTAAATTTATTCCTGATGGTTTCACTATTTTTTCATTTGATGACGTATTTAATGCACACTAATATTTCTTGACCTTCAATTAAAAAATCCGTTAAAAGAAGAAATGGAATACAATTAAAAATCATACAAATTTCACTGAATTAGATTATATTAAAGTTAGATGTTTTATTGTTAATCCTCTATTTCAGCTTTCAAGATATTTTACTAATTTTACACAATAATATAGGTAATAATTACAAAACTGGTACCATGAAAAAACTTAATCTGTCAAATATATTAATTTTGCTTCCGAACATTCTCTTTCTCAAAAAATAGTAATTAATTATTCTTTGGTTGTCAGGGCAGTTGAATTATTATCTCATCCATAATTTCATATCTCTAATTTTAACTTACAATAGTTAAAAATACTTTACAAGAAAATGTTTCTAAATAGAAAAATAGATTTTCTAAAACTCTTAAAACAATATTAACTGCAAAACTGATGTCAAGTCTACCCAACCCATGTTTTTGATAAGGTTAGGTTAGGAATGGGTCATTCCATATCAAGTGTAACCAACCATTGTGCTAACCATGTCAAAAACATGGATTGGGTACACTTGATATAGAATGGCCCATATATATATATATGTATATATATACTTATTATATTAGTATTTTAGTTCTGATTATAACTTCAAACCCACAAGCGAATTGACGTGGAACGACCCATATATCTATTTATATTAGTATTAAAACGAACATAACCTCAAAATTTTAGTGCATAGGTTTTCAGGATTCAGGTTGGTTCCAGAATAGGCAAAATCGTATCGTTTTAAGGACGATTTTCAGGACGAAATGATGCGCGCGCATACTTTTTCTATTGTTGTGAATCGTTTAGTCTTAAAAATTGTCTTTAAAACGATACGATTTTGCCTATTGTGGAACCAACCTCAAGGCATGGAGAATAGACTACAGGAGACTAATCTCCTATGCATTTACATCACTAAAATGGTGCCAAAATTCGTCGTAAGTTAAGACAAGTACTCATACATCCCCATAGGTGGCGAAAAAAACAGATATAGATACAACCAACGTACGCATGTCAAGAAATATCTGTTTCGATCTGTTAGCTGTGTTATTGTTTTGAATAACATAACCTGAATTTAGGTATATTTCTATAACATATTAAATAATTTAATCACTGTGTCTATTTACCCTGTTGAAAATTCCTATGTGAGAACACATATGGGATCCCATCCAGGATCTCTTGTGAGTTCTTATGTGGGTTCCCATACAGGTTCACACATAAGATCCTGTATGAAAAGGTTCCTGGGATGAACTTGCGTGAGATCAAGCGCACGATCTTATGTCTCTGTAAAAGCAATAACACAGGATCCCATGAGGTTTCCTGTGTAGGTTCCTATATGAACAACACGATAAATAGGAACACACATGGGATCTTATCCGAGATCTTGTATGAGTTCTTACATAGGTTCTCACATATAAGAAGATTAATAGCATATATATAAAAGCATTATATAAAATCTTATTAAGCTGCTATTAATCTTCTTATATGTGAGAACCTATGTAAGAACTCATACAAGATCTCGGATAAGATCCCATGTGTGTTCCTATTTATCGTGTTGTTCATATAGGAACCTACACAGGAAACCTCATGGGATCCTGTGTTATTGCTTTTACAGAGACATAAGATCGTGCGCTTGATCTCACGCAAGTTCATCCCAGGAACCTTTTCATACAGGATCTTATGTGTGAACCTGTATGGGAACCCACATAAGAACTCACAAGAGATCCTGGATGGGATCCCATATGTGTTCTCACATAGGAATTTTCAACAGGGTAGCAAGCTTATTTTAAAAAATAAGTTTATGATATGTTAATAAATATACATAGCACAGGTATTTATCGTTTCCCAAAATATATACCTAAGTATTTACAAAATAAAAACAATTTATTTGCATTAATAAAATTAATTTTTATTTGGAAATGTAAAGTTTAAATATAATTTTAAATATATCTATAGTTATAAAGTTTTCTCAGAATAGAGGTTTAAAAAAAAAGATTTTTGCCACAACTTTAATAAAATAATTAATTAAATTAAATAATATAATAAATACAATATTAAATAATATTTCATAAATTAACGAACCTTATAAACTGGCAAAAATTTTAATCATTATTTAAATAATAACGGTAACTTATATTAAATTTTAAATAATAAAATATATTTCAGTATATCATAATATATAAAAAAATTTTTTTTTTAAATTTAAAACACAATTTAAACTACAAAATTTCCACTTTGGCAAATTTTAAACTTACCTCATACATTACTTATTTATTTCACCGATAAAACATGTGATTCTGACGGAAAACCATATATCACGATGTATGCTGTTAAACAAGAAGCACATGTTCATTTTAGAACTTCTGGTATCTATCTGTTTGCAACGCAGCGCGCGAGAAGTTTCGGAACTAACAGCTTCCGACAAAAATTGGCCATTTTTTATACACTACATTGGTCTTCTGTAGTCTATTCTCCCTGATTCAAGGCCTTACTTCAAACATAACCTCAAAATTCAAGAACGTAGGTCATGGGACCGTTGGGAGGGGTTTGAGGCTATGTCCGACAAACATAACTTCAAATTCCCCCAACCAAGAAACGAACATAACCTCAAAATTTAGATAAAATTTTAATAATTTTAATATAAGCAAGACTTTAAAAAATTAATCATTAAAGTGGGAAATAATGGGGGTTGGCGCGTGAAGCGCGCAGGGGGACATAGCCCCCCTAGTATATATATATA